TTACCACATAAGAAATGCCATTGCTATGGAATAATATCTTCTGTATACTTTGTGTGTACATGTCACGATGATTGGTTTAATAAACAAGCTGACTGGCCAATAACTGGACAGGATCAAGCTATGCAGGAAAGCTAATGTGAGAAAGATGGGATGAGGAAGGGCAGAGTCAGAAGAGACATCATTAGATGCACAGGGAGCAGAATGAATGTGCAATGGTAATAATGGTATTGCCACATGGCAGAGGGTAAATAAAGAATGTGGGTTAATTTAAAATGTAAGAGATAGTAATAAGCCTGAGATATTGGTCACATATTTATGAGTAATCTTAAGTCTCTGTATTGGTTATTTGGGAGCAGGCAGTAGGAACAGGAAAAATTCCTCTAAAAATTGTGCCAACTGTGGCACCACATACAACTACATAAATCCTGGAAAAGCTTTAAAAAGCATTCTAAACACACAAAAATGGAGTCAAGTATGGCATCTTGGTAACTGCCTTTTCTCTATAGGCTCTGTTTGCTAGCATCAGTCAGAGGCAAGGCTCCTCTAACAGGTAGCTTCCTTCAGCAATATTGGCAAAAACAGACATCATCACTCTTTTTAAAATCCCTGCTAACAAACATTGGATCAGGTTCATGAGCAGTGGGCAGTGGCAACAGGGACCCAAAAGCTACCCAGAGATGGGGCAATAAATGTAGCTCCAGCCGGTACCTTCATCAAAAATCTAGGCTTTCAGGGAATTAATGAGTGAGGTGAAGCCAGTGACCAAATCTTCCACTTTGGTCCTAGCCATGACACTTATTAAAGACTCATGTAGTCAGAAAAAGAAGGAAATATGTAGTAAAGACGTATTCAGACAAAAAAAAATACAAAATCAAAAAAAAAATCTCTAAATGGTTTACAGTCTGTTTAAAAAGACTGTAAGCTTGGGAGAGAGAAAAAAATAGTATGTATAGTCATGGATTAAAAATATAGTTTAAAAATAATAAAATCCTTAAAAGCGGAGTAAAGTAATATAAAAGAAAAAAGTCACATAAAAATGAAAAATACAGAGTCTGGATATCTGTATTATAGTTCTCTCCTTGAATTTTTTGACTGCTGAGGAAGGAGCAATATCTCCTAAGAGGCTTTTGATAATAAAAGCTTCTGGATTAAACCAGCCTATATATTTTGAAATGTTCTTACTTCAAAATGGAATTCAAAAGATATATTACTTTGATACAGTGATTCTGTTTATATTTCCATAGAAAATAGAAGGCTGTGGATTCATTCATAGTTAAGGAAAATCAGGTTTGATGGAGGGAGACCCTCTGAAAATTCCTAGCTATAAACATAAAGAAATAAATTATAAGACATGTGATGTATATTTTACCTGCTTAAACATAAAAAAAATCATCTTTGGCTGCTTTGTGTAGAAACACAGTATATACTTGTATTAATCCAGATACATATGTTATCTTTATAAGTTTACATATTTTCAGAGCAAAAAGACCATATACCAATACAAATAAATGGACAGGTGGTCTCAAAATGCCTCTGTTACATTCTCCTCAAATCTTGAATCCAGTACAACTTCACTGCTTCTAAATGAGATGATCCAGTCTCATTGAATACCCCATTCAAGGACTTTATCATAATCTAGAATTTTCTCAGAGTTTCCTAAAGATGGCAGAGCCCATAGACAACAGTAGCAGTCTAGAGAAAACAGTGTTCACATTCCTAAAAGGATTATGGATGTTAACTTTGTTTAGTGTGGTTGGTTGCAAGTTATTATTTGTCATGGTAAACAACAACAACAACAAACAAACAAACAAACATAAAACAACTAACCAATGGAGTTAGATTCAAAGATCTCTTTCTGCAAGAAAAGGGAGCATAGAAATGATAAAATGGTAGATTATTGATTACTGAATCTAGTTTAACCCCCAAAACATTTCACATTGGTATAAATTTGGTATATTGATAATAATTTAAAGTTAATTTGTTTTACTGTATGTATATTTCTACCTTTGTTTAGGTTATTGTGCTTATATAGTTCATTTAAAAACTTAATGTATAATATAAAAAGTTAATAGTCATTTATAATAGTCAAACTTATAGTCATGTTAGGTTAAACAGGTATATTTAGATAAAGATGAAAGTGAAGGTGTAAGTCACAACAATCCCACACCAGTTTGGAATTATGATTAATAAAATAAAATAAAAAACTTACAGATCACCGTCCCAGACAACAGCCCTCTGCACAATCAGGAACGGAGTCTAGTCACCAGAAGTGGAGCAGGAAGTAAGAGAGAGAGGAGAGAGAAGTGGCCGCTTTTTTTAAAGGGAGAGAGACCACGCCCCAATGGGCTGGTATCTCAGAAACTATTGGCTGAAAGAGCGGGAGGAGCTCCAGCAACATAAAGATCTGGTCTTCAAGCATTTAATGTGCATAATAACTGAAGACTTTTCCTGACAATGAGACATATCTGCCTGGTAGCACCAATCTGCTTCAAAGTAGATGATGGGCATTGAAGAACCTCCATACAGACTTTGTTTTCTTTATGGCAAAAGTTAGCCGTGCAAGGAAAGAAAGTGCCCTTGCTTCAATTGCTTACAATATATTGTCCAAACTATACCAGGAAGATGCAAGAAAGGTAACTACCAAACCTTTCCAAGACAAGGTAGAACAGTCCTTCAAAATTCCCTGGTTCACAGAAAAGTCTGTCAGATATGCTAGGCCTATAGGCCAGAGCTGGATGTCCTAACATTATAGTTGAACTTCGGGTGACTGTTCAGGTAACCTGTTGTCCTTCTCATTCGTTAACATTTCATCCTTCTGGGGTCTTTAATTGAGTTAAAGACTAAGAGGTTAAACTTATAGTTTTCCTTAGTTATGATGGAAGGCAAATTAATGATAAAATGTTAGACTAACCAAGATAAAATAGACAATAGAATATTTTCTATACTTTCACCAAATACAAGTAGAATGGACATTGTAACCATAATTCTTACTGGATAACTGTTTCTGTTGTATGTAATTCTGGTGCATATAATTTTATTATGTTAAAGTTAAAACCTTCCATTTTAATTAGACAGAAAGGTAAAATGCTGTGGAATAGTTCTTCTGTATGTTGTGTGACTATATGTCATTGTAACGGGTATAATAAACAAGCTAAACAGCTAAACAGGAAAAATTAGGAGGGAATACCAAACTAAGAATGATGGATGAGGAAAGGTGGAGTCAGAAATAACACCAGTAGATGCAAAGGGAATAGGATAAATGTCTATGTTAAAAATGGTACTGCCACACAGCAGAGGATAAATAAGGAATATGGGTTAACTTAAAATGTAAGAGCTAGTTAGTAATAAGCCAGAGTTATGGCCGAGAATAGGTTATTTAGAGGCAGGCAATACGGACAAAAAAATTGGATACATGCTATATTTGGTATTGTAACCTAAATAAAAGACCATGTTTGTGGATGTCATGGTCCCTGGGGTGGAACCTGCTACAATCATTTTGCCAAGTGAGTATGTAGTCAAATTGTACTCTTAATATTTATGTTTATGGCCTAGACTTGGACTGCTCTCAGCTTTGGTCAGAGAAGCTTCTTTTTGCAGTGGATAGTACAGAGAAGCAGAAGTGGTCAATGTGCCAATGAGAAGAGAATATATGGTCAGCCATAAAGGGAACATCTTCACAAACCCATTTCCCCAAATGCCACCACTGAGACTAAGGGAACAAAAGGGAGAGGAAATTAGAAAGAATGTAAGAGCCAGCCAATGGGGAAAAGTTCTGTGGAATGCTGCTTTCTGGACATGACAAGGCTATCCCTCTACCAAACTGGTTACCTAGATGAGACCTGCACAAAATCAAGCCAACCAAAATTCCAACATAGATGGGAAGGGGCCCTCTACCCCTTAGTGAATTACTATTGTTAGGTGACAACTATTGGAAATGGGAAATTTATTCTTCCTTGAGGTTGTGGCCATGGCTAGGTTTCCTTGCACAACCATGTTCCTATGAACAACATCCATTAAGAAACTTGGGGTAGAGGAAAACATGTTAGAGCACATACAGGGGAAGCTTGAGGGGGAAAGTATGCAATGGATATGATCATGTTTCCATATATTTATATACATACATACACACACACACACACACACACACACACACACACACACATATATATATATGAGATCTTTCTTTCTTTATTAGTGGAGGTGGTGGCAGTGTTTTTTAAGACAGTGTTTCTCTGTACAGCCCTGCTTGTCCTGAAACTCACTCAGCATCTCAGACTTTCTCTGAACTCAAAGATGGGCCTGCCTTTGCCTCACATGTGCTGGGATTAAAGGTATGTGCCACTACAAGGCACACACCTTTCAAAGAGTTTTCTAGAAAAATAAATACTAATCATAAATAAAAACAGTGAACAGTTTTCTACCACATTAGATTTTGTACATTACAATACCTTGAAACGGAAAGTATGTGTGTGTGTGTATATATATATATGCATATACATATATATCATGTATACATGTATACATGATATATGTATATATACATGACATATGTATATATACATACATATGTATATATATGTGTGTGTATATGTATATACATATATATACATATATATCATGTCTTATATTTATAAATTCAAACAGTTATATAAGTAACTACAAAAAGAAGTAAAGTTAATGTCTGAGATACTCCTACTCATTGTATCTGTCAGGATGGTCCAGTCACTTCACATCATCTTAAGCTGCTGATTGCTTGTGCCCTGTGCATCTTAGAACACACAGTCCTGAGCTGTGTTCAGTATTACATCACTAGCAGTCAACTTCTAGACCATTCCTCTTCCCTATCGATCACTTGCTCAGGCACTGCCTTATGCATCTTGTCCTTAACTGTGAGCTGCATAGAAAATAAGGGAAACCTTCTGAAATGAGAGAAAAGCCTTGTCACACAATCGTCCCAACAACTGTACCAGTGTTAGCGTGTAAGGGTTCAGGAAACTCACGGGTTACATGGGCTATCACTAACCCATTGCCATTTCCTTCCATGATATTTTAATCCAATCCAGGATTTGTTTAAATGAAGTTGGGCTTTAAGGAATTCCTGCAAAGGAAACAACACATCTTACCATAATATTTCTGTCTAGTGAGGAAAAAAAATAACCAATAATATTCCCAGCTATTCCCATGTCAGTTCTCTGCTGGCCCCTCACTCCTTCCATTTCCCACAAGCAGCTCATTTATATCAAAACTGATATCAGTTTCATAAGTTATTTCGTATGAAAACTTCATGTGTCCAGTGATACTCAATTCCTTAAATGATTTGTGATGGTGTTTCTTAGACAAAGTCTCAGTGTATAGCCAAGGCTGGCTTTAAAATCACAATCTTCCTGCATCAAGACCCAAACTATACACTACACATTGGCTCATTAAAGAGTCTCTGACATCTTATAAAATTATTCAGATAATCTCTCTGAAAGATTACAGAGGCCTGTGGGAAGTGTGCATTATAAGTGGCCCCTGTCTTCAAAGCAAATTCATTAAGATAAAAACCCTTTGGGAAAAGCTGTGCATCTAAGTTCCACAGTCCAGAGAGGAGCCCAGGCTGTAATTCAGACACTGAAGTGACATCTTGGGGAAGAAAAGTGGAGATATTAGGGAGTAATTCTTGTGTCCTACATGACACATTCAAGTGTCATGGTATCTCATGAAATTTCAGAATATGTTTTAGAATTCAAGCTTAAATTTACCTATGTTTACTGTATCTAATGGAAAATTATATTATTAGTTAACATTAAAATTTATTTGATGCTGTAATTTTTAAACATGTATTAAATTGGTAGGTAAATGTTTCCATGTTCTAAATAACAGAGATGTCAAACTGATCCTCCAAGCATTTCTCTAAAAAAATATAATCCACATATTTGGAGACGTTTCTTTAGTAATAAATGTAATCAGACAATGGTAGTACATTGGCCACTTTGTTTTTATCTTAAATACTTGATTCTGGATATGGACATCTTTTCTGATACAAAGAATACTATGAAGTAAATTTTGTGGACAGATTTATTGAAAATCACATAAGTTTACTGATATTTCTGTTTATTGTACAGTTCTCTTGTCATTTCCATTTTGCAGATTGGTCCAAAGATCAATTATTTTCCATCTCAAGCAGTCTCTTTTCTGGGTTCCAAAGAGCAAGCCCTCAACAACTGCCTCTGGAGATTTACTTGGCACTCTATGGAAATAAATAACAGCCACTCACAGAATGTGCTGTACCGAATGGTTAAACTTCACCAGGAAAAGACATGCTTATTTTGGGGACTCTTCTGCAGACTCCTGAGAAATAATGGAGATTGCAAAGGCATGACTGCCTGCCTAGTAATGAGTCTCCTCATGGCAGACCCTGCATCCTGAAACTAAAAGGAATGAGCTGGGAAATTTAACTGCATGATTTCTGCCCTCATTACAGGAAAACCACATACAGCCCCTGAAGCACTCTTTTATTTGAAACTCATAGGCTCATGCTTCACTATCAAAGGGATAGAGTAGTCCATGAATAAAGATGCATGTTAGAGTCTATTGTACCAACCAGTTCATCATTATTCTCTATATTCAAAATGGAAAATCTGCATTCTTCGCAGGTCTGTTTGCATTTATGCCAGTGTTTATTGTCCGTGAGAAAATAACATTTTATGCCACGGCAGAACCAGTGTCCGTCAACATATTTGTCTACAACAGAGAAAGGAATGATTAAAATTATTACTTTTTGGTGTTTTGTAATCAGAATATGTTTAATAAGCCTATATAAGTAACTAAAATCTCACAGCTCTCAGAAATTTAGATTCTAGAATGCTGGGAGACCTTTGCACACCCATGTTCTATGCAGCAGTGCTTACCACAGTAGAGAAATGAAAACAACTTTAGTGTTCTTTCTTGATGAGAAAGTAGAGAAAATGTAGAACATATACTCAATGGAATACCATTTAGCCTTTAAAGGAAATTAAATACTGCCAGACATATTCTATAGCTATAAGCCCAGCATTCCACAGAGTGAGTCAGGAAGATCACCAGGAGTTTGAGGCCATCCTAGACTGAGCAGTGAATTCCAGGATAGCCTGGGCTATACATTGAGTTTCAAGTCAGCCTAGGCTACAGAATGAAACCATGTCTCACATCCAAACACCCAAAAGAGAGAACCTGACCAATGATGATGAGCTGTGCAATAAGAGTAATATTATCTTTCTTCTCAGGTCTTTGATGGGATTGAAGACTAGATAGTCATAGTTACTTTCCTCTCATGACTTAGTCAAGCCATTTCTAATACAAGACTTAGACTCCTTAGGATAAAACAATTATTTAAACATTTAGCAGATTTCTTGCTTAATATTGTTTATGCTGGTTGTAATTCACATTTTTGTACTTGATATCTATTCTTACTGTATATAGTTTTGTGTTGGATTTGGAACTCTCTTATTTGTACAAAATGGGGAGGTAATGGGGAACCTCCTTCAACCAATGGCCTTTGAGATGCTGGACCAGGTTGGGCATGGTCTTGGGCACCAAAAATGTGCACGCTCATGCACTCACCCTTTCTCTCCTCTCTTGCCTGACTGCCAGATTCAGTTCCTATTGCCAAGTCATGAAGAGGACTGTGATCTGTGAGTTCCCACTAAATAGAGAATCCGTCATTATATTCAGTTCTGAGCTAGTGTGGGACTATTTTCTCCATGTTCTCCTACAAACTCTGTCAATTAAAGATAACTAGTCATGGTGCAAAGTAAGAAAGATTCCTTGTAACACATGCTATTTCATCTTTTTGGCATCATTAACAGTGTTACTAATTGATATTCATGAGTGTAAGCACTATATGCACTGTTCATCACAAACAGGCCATCTATTTGGAACCAAGGCATAAGGAAAACATACAGATAGATGTGTGCACACACACGCATACACACACACACACACACACACACACACACACTTTTATGATTGTGTGTAAATATGGAGTGCTTAGCCTCTAGGAACTATAAAACTCTCCTAATTCAACCAGAGGTTTCTGGGGTTCAAGGATTCTATATAAAATAAGGAAACCCCACTGTAATCGGCTAATTGGACTTCAATTTTCTGAAGAAGAAATAATAAAAGAATCCTGCAATTCTTTCTTCAAGATCCCCTCCATACCTGAGAATACTGAGCAATCTAAAGAAATCTTGGTTTTTGCATAGCATTCTTTGTTGATGGAGTCCAGACGACCTTTGAGGGCATCATACTCTAGAGACATATTTCTCAACATTTTTTCCTTTAAGGAGCTGTCATTTTTCAAGGTGTCATAGGTTTGGTTGAGGTTGTTTAGAATTTTCTCCTGTTCTTGTTTCTCTAGCCTGTACTGAAAAACTAAAATTAACAGCAGACATATAACACCAAAAATTTTGTAAGGTGTAAATACTGAAATTTAAGATAAAAGAAAAAGTCTATGTTGACATCGAATACATATAACTACTCTAATTGCTATTTTGACATTAAGAAACAGTTCAATTAACTCACTATAGAAATGGAAACAGGATGATCCCGAATTTCCTGAGAAAATGAAACACTGCTTTCCAAAGTGGTTGCACAAGTTTGCATTCCCACCAGCAATGGATGAGGGAACCCCTTCCTCCACAACCTCTCCAGCAGAGGCTATCATTGGTGTTTTTGATTTTAGCCAATCTGACAGGTGTAAGATGGTATCTTAAAGTTGTTTTGATTTGCATTTCCCTGATCGCTAAGGAGGTTGAGCATGGCCTTAAGTGTCTTTTGGCCATTTGAACTTCTTCTGTTGAGAATTCTCTGTTCAGATCAGTGCCCCATTTTTTAATTGGGTTAATTAGCATTTTAAAGTCTAGTTTCTTGAGTTCTTTATATATTTTGGAGATCAGACCTTTGTCTGTTGCGGGGTTGGTGAAGATCTTCTCCCAGTCCCTGGACCCAGCAATACCACTCTTGGGAATATACCCAAGAGATACCCGATCATCTGACAAGGGCATTTGTTCAACTATGTTCATAGCAGCATTATTTGTAATAGCCAGAACCTGGAAACAACCTAGATGTCCTTCAATGGAAAAATGGATGAAGAAAGTGTAGAATATATACACATTAGAGTACTACTCAGCAGTAAAAAACAATGACTTCTCAAATTTTGCATGCAAATGGATGGAAATAGAAAATACTATCCTAAGTGAGGTAACCCAGACCCAAAAAGATGAACATGGGATGTACTCACTCATAATTGGTTTCTAGCCTTAAATAAAGGTCAGTGAGTCTATAATTGGATATCCTAAGGAAGCTGAATAAGAAGGTGAACCCAAAGAAAAACATATAGCTATCCTCTTAGGTAGGGGAAGTAGACAAGATTGCCAGGCAAAAATCGGGATCTTAAGGGTGGGGTGGAGGGGGGTAAGGGGAGATGGGGAGAGAAAAGTGAGAAGGGTAGGATGGGGGGAACCTGGGGAAAAAGGATGATTGGGATAAAGGAAGGTTGGATAGGGAAGCAGGGAAGCACATATCTTAATTAAGGGAGCCATCTTAGGGTTGGGAAGAGACTTGGACCTAGAGGGGCTTCCAGGTGCCCAAGGCGAGGTCCCCAGTTAGTTCCTTGGGCAGCTGAGGATAGGGAACCTGAAATGGCCCTATCCTATAGCCATACTGATGAATATCTTGCATATCACCATAGAACCTTCATCTGGCGATGGAAGGAGATAGAGACAGAGACCCACACTGGAGCGCCGGACTGAGTTCCCAAGGTCCCATTGAGGAGCAGAAGGAGGGAGGACATGAGCAAGGAAGTCAGGACCGTGAGGGGTGCACCCACCCACAGAGACAGTGGGGCTGATCTATTGGGAGCTCACCAAGGCCAGCTGGACTGTGACTGAAAAAGCAGGGGATAAAACCGGACTCTCTGAATATGGCGAACAATGAGGGCTGCTGAGAAGCCAAGGACAATGGCACTGGGTTTTGATCCTACTTCATGTTCTGGCTGTGTGGGAGCCTAGCCAGTTTGGATGTTCACCTTCCTAGACCAGGATGGGGGGCGGGGAGGACTTTGGACTTTCCACAGGGCAAGGAACCCTGACTGCTCTTCAGACTTGAGAGGGAGGGGGAGAGGAGTGGGGGGAGAGGGAGAGGAGTGGGGGGACGGGGAGAGGAGTGGGGGGGAGGAGTGGGAGGCTGGGAGGAGGCGGAAATTGTTTTTTTCTCAATAAAACAAAAAGAAAGTTAAAAAAAAGGAATGGAAACAGGAATTGCTCTCTATCTACAACTTCAGTGTGAAGTATATGATACAACTGAAAAAATTATGGTGGAAGTAGCATATCTTCGAATTACTAAATTTTATTCACAGACAAAAACTTACAAATAAATACTAGAGTAAAATATTCAGCAAACGTGCCCTGAAAATCTAAATTAATAAACATAAAAAGGCACAATTCTCAAAGGACCAGATGTGAAACGTAATATCCAGAAATTAGCACAGCCTGGGAGTGATTTCTTCCAGAGATGTAATGGAATCCAATAAGGCTGTACCTTTAACGTCTCTGTATTCATTCAGTATTTTTACACAACCATGTCCTCAATATACACTGAAGAGAAAACTAAAAAAAAAAAAAAAAAAAATCTTTTTTTTTTTTTTGCACAGTCATTCTTCACAGAATGTTTACCTAAGATTTTAATTGCCTGGACTCAGCAGGAAGACTACCACCAAGTCCCCAGAAGGGATCATGGCAATGATGAGAGAATAAAGCAGCTCCCAAAAGTCCTACATTAACAAATTAGGTATATAAGAGAAAAGGAGCCTGTAGTGTCAGAAAGAAAACATTAAAAGTTCAGAGCCACCTGTCAAATCTCCTGATTATAGAAAGGACAATGGACAGACTGTAATACTTGTTTTTGTGTCTAAAGTTATTACTTAGGCAGAAAGGCAAAGAAGATGTATATCAGTTACTCACTGAATGTCACCAACACTGTTATGACCACCAGCAGAATGGAACAAAAGATTCCGAGAGGTATCGCAATGAGGTTCCAGGGGACTGAGCTCTCTTAATTAACAAAACAAAGCAACAAAAAAAAATCATCCCCATGAAAAGAGCATATTACAGTAGTAATTATAATTTCACATAGCATGAAAATAAGGTACATTGGTCTTTAAAATTTTTATATAAGTCCATCATACAAACTGCATGAAAATGTGCTTTTTAAATTATAGATTTCTACCTAAAATGCACCCATTGTAGAAATCCTACATGTTTGAAGTTTCACAGGATTTCTAGCTTTTTCTCCTTTGGCCTTACTTTCTCAATTGTCCCAACTTAACCTAGGAGCCGTTGGGTGACAGGCACTTGCCCTTCACCCAGTTCTACAAGATCAAAAGTGCATCCTTCTGAAAACACTGAAGGCACAGACACAGTCCAAGTAGAAGATTCCAAACTGCAGTGTGCAGTCCACCAAGGGCAATAACTGAGATGAAGAGGAAGAAAAAAGGGGTGGATGTTCTCGAGAACTGTGGGGAACCATAGCTGTTCCAGAGCTGACCTGTAAACAGGCCCATTCTTGAAGGAACCTAAAGTCAACTCTATCTTTCTTTTGGTAAATTCTAATTTTCTATAGACAATAATAAACATCTTTGTGTATCTGAAGTGTTGGAAACATGAGAGCCCTGCATCTGATTATCACCTAATCAAAGAAGTAAAGGTTCTCAGTTTAGAGGTCAGCTCTGACAGTATGTGCAGATTGAGCACACACACACACACACACACACACACACAATTGAGACATCTGCTCTTTTTAATAAACTTAATTCTTCTTTGACACTTTTGCAAATTCACAGTGTGGTTTACTCATTCCCATACTCACTACCCTCTCTTATCTCCCTTCTGTTCCTCTGAAACCTTTTTCCCAGGAAGAGACTTCCTCTTCAAATGAACTACTTTTGCTGTTTCCTTGAACTAGATGTTGAGAATAACAAAGACAATTAAAACACCTTCTGCTAGAATGAAAGTACTGTTTCTAATGCAAATTTTTATTTGTTTAAGATTTTATTTCTCTACAATGTTGAGTGTTTCTTCAGGCTTGACTGTGTCACTTTTAAAGGTTTCAGAATACTTTACTAGACTAAAAAAAACCTAATGGTTTCTTAAATTTGAAAGAATGTATTTACTTCTTGATTCTCCATTCTCAAGAATTTTTTTCCTACAGGCTCCCATTGTTCTACCTTGTCTAGCTGACTTTCTTTTACTACCAATTAACAACTAGAAATAGGGTTATTGTTTTCAATAGAAACCAGTAGAATATTGTTTTCAAATGTCCAAAGTTACAATGCATGAAAAACAGGTGAATTTATACACTTAAAACGTTTACCTTTGTGGCCATCTTCTTTGGGCCCTTGAGCCTCATCAGGCCTTCCTTCATTCTTCAACCCTGAAGAAGACTTATGGAATCTCACAGTTGCATAAGTGATCTCTTCATCACTCATCTTGGGAATAAGTGAAGTACAGTTTTTGCTAATACCTGACCTTGAGTGATTTCGGGAAAAAAAAAAACACTAAAATGTCCTCCTTTAGGAAGGTACGTGGATCTGATACTGCAATAGGGTGGGAATGAGTGGGTCTGATTAATTCCACTAATGACCCAAACATTCTAAATCACATGGACTAATCCTGATTTCCAATAGAGGTGAGAAATCGTTGATTATTTCTGTCATTTGAACCTCTAATTGTCACAGCAATTATTATCAGAAAATAAAGAATTTAAAATATATTATTAAGTCATTGTAATATTGAAACACCCCATAATATTCAAAGTACTCGACATATATAAAATTGTTAGGCAATATTGCTATCACCATAAATCATTGAAACACTTTTAAATTATCAATTCAAATAACAAAAATTCAAAGATTTCTGAATAAATAAAATCTTTTCTTTAAAATTATTTACACATTTTGATAAGCACATAAATATAAAAATGTTTTTGCAGTCTTTTCAATTATATATGTCTATCCAGGTTTCCCAGTTTCCCATACACCACTTCAAAAAGAATATTTGAATGTTAATATAGGAGATGATTAAAATTTTGGGCTTCAAGAAATATAAATATTTCTTGGGTTGAGCCCAAACACCTGAGATGTCCAACCTCTTGATTCAGCCACAACCTACACATTCTTCTCCATGGTCAGGCTTGGTAAATGGATGCAACGTGAAAACGTCCTACAGTGTGGGGTAACCCAAACACAGAAAGCTAAAAGCCACATGTTTCCTCCATCAGAGACCCTTGTCTTTAAGTCTTCCAACAAGCTACATAATCTAACTGCAGCAGCCAGGAAAGTAGAAAGGGTTATTGCATGGGGTGGAGTATGGAAGCAAATATGATGAATATAAGAAGATGCTACCTAAAACTTAATTTCAAGTTATTCAACATACATGATCGTTTCAATATTATTTTCTAGTGTAAGATATTGCCAGAAGAATCATTGGTTAATTCCCGTAAAGGATCCATTCTGGTTTTATATATATATATATATATATATATATATATATATATATATATATATTATTCAATAGTAAATATTTATAACTCACCGTGCCCCTTACATTGATAACTGAGATAGTATCCAACAGATAATATGGAAAACAAACAGTATATGGATTGGTTCTTCTCTAGTTTTTAGTTTCATGAAAATTACTGAATTTATTCACATTTTCCCTAATTTCTTAAGAAAAAGGAAACTTTCCATTAGAGAATTCATTTTTTAAATTGTTATTCATTATTACTGATCTTGGGGTCGTGTCTGTGCCATGGTGCACATGTGTCCAGAAGACAACTGTATCCAGTAAGTTCTCTCATTCCAGTCTTATGTGGCTTTCAGGGATAAAGCTTAGGTAGTCAATCAGACTTGTGCAGCAAGTATCTTTACACACTCAGCCATCTTCCTTGGCTCCTATTATGTATGACTTCTGCAAGAATTGTATATAAACTTTCACATAGTTAAAAAGTAATGAACTCCTTAGAACCCTCTACCACTTACTTTCTCAGCACACAGCAAAAGTCACAGCACACTCAGAAAGAAAATAAACAATGTCAAACTCTCGTTTTCACATGCTGCCAGAATCAACCAACTCTAACACAACCAACAGAATTTCCCCAACAATCCCACTCTTAAGTCACACCATCGGAAATTCTCTAGAGTATATACAATCATGTGATAGAAAAATAATAACCTCAAAGACAGACACTACCTCAGAATAAAGGATTGGGCAAGGGTTTTCCAATCAAATGATTCTAAGAAACAAGCGGGGATGGCTATCCTAATATTTAACAAAATGGATTTCAAACTAAAATCAATCAGAAGAGATGGAGAAGGACATTTTATACTCATAATAGGAACAATTAATCAAGATGAAATTTCAATCCTGAATATTTATGACCCTAATGTAAAAGCACCCACACATGTAAAAGAAACACTACTAGAATTCAAATCACACATCAAACCCCATACATTAATAGTAGGAGATTTCAACACTACTCTCTCGCCAATGGACAGATCAACTAGACAGAAACTTAACATAGAAAAAAGATAACAGATATAATGAATCAAATGGACTTAACAGACATCTATAGAACATTCCACCCAAACAGGAAAGAATATACCCTCTTCTCAGCACCTCATGGAACCTTCTCAAAAACTGACCACATACTCAGTAACAAAGCAAACATCCACAGATACAAAAAAAAAAAAAAATGGAGTAACCTGTATCTTATCGGATCACCATGTAGTAAAGTTAGAATTTAAAAACAATACTACCCTTAGAAAGTCTACAAACTCATGGAAACTGAACAGTCAACTACTGAACCACCCCTCAGTCAAGGAAGAAATAAAGAAAGAAATTCAAGTCTTCCTTGAATTCAACATACCCAAACCTATGGGACTCTATGAAAGCAGTGCTAAGAGGAAATTTCATAGCTCTAAGTGCCCACATAAAGAAAACAATGAAAGCTCACAGTAGAGACTTAACAGCATGCCTGAAAGCTCTAGAAAAAAAAAAAAGAAGAAGAAGCAGACTCACCCAGGAGGAATAGAAGACTGGAAATAAACTGAGGGCTGAAATCAACAAAATAGAAACACAGAAAACAATTCAAGGAATCAATGAAACAAACAGCTGGTTCTTTGAGAAGATCAACAAGATTGACAAACCCCTATCTAAACTAATCAAAAGTCAGAAAAAGAACACCCAAATTAACAAGATCAGAAATGAAAAGGGGGACATAATAACAGACACTGAGGAAATTCAGAGAATCATTAGGTCTTACTACAAAAATCTGTACTCCACAAAATTAGAAAATGTAAAAGAAATGGACATTTTTTTAGACAGATACCATATACCAAAATTAAATCAAGACCAGGTGAGCAATTTAAATAGACCTATAAGTCACGAGGAAATAGTAGCTGTCATCAAAATCCTCTCAACAAAAACAAAAACAAAAAAAAAAAAAAAAGCAAGCCCAGGGCCAGATGGTTTTAGTGCAGAATTCTACCAGAACTTCCAAAAAGAGCTAATGACTATACTCCTTAATGTGTTCCACTTAATAGAAACAGAAGGGTCATTGCCAAACTCTTTTTTTTTTATTTTATTATTTATTTATTTATTTATTATGTATACAACATTCCTTCCATGTATGCTTGCATGCCAGAAGTGGGCACCAGATCTCATTACAGATGGCTGTGAGCCACCATGTGGTTGCTGGGAATTGAACTCAGGACCTCTGGAAGAGCAGTCAGTGCTCTTAACCTCTGAGCCATCTCTCCAGCCCCGCCAAACTCTTTTTATGAAGCTACAGTTACCCTGATGCGAAAACCACACAAAGACTCAACCAAGAAAGAGAATTACAGACCAATCTCACTCATGAACATCAATGAAAAAATTCTCAATAAAATACTGGCAAACAGAATCCAAGAACACATCAAAAAAATCATCCATTATGATCAATAGACTTCATCTCAGAGATGCAGGGCTGGTTCAACATACGAAAATCTATCAATGTAATCCATCATATAAATAAACTGAAAGAAATAAAAGCAGTTGTTACCTGTGTCTCTACCAGGAATGGATTCTGATGGAGGGAATTGATCCCCAAGTGAGGGATAAGTTGGTCTTTCCTGGTGTGTATCCTCTCAGAGCTCCCCAGGAGAAAAGGAACTGAGTCGCCTCTTCAGTGATACTCAAGTTCATGACTTCCCCTCCTTTTGAGCAAAGTGAAAAGAGGAAATTGTATGATGAAAGCGGATTCTAACAGAAAAAAAAAAAACCCACATGCCAGATGCTGCAAATCATGTCCATAATCAGTATTTGAAGACTGAAAAGATGGGACATTTGAAGAGAATGTAAAACCAGAGGTTCTTAGCAAAACCTCTAATGAAAAGACTTTTCTCTAATCCTAGTTTTGTAATCAACAGGTGGAAATTTTCTTTTAAACTACTATTTTGAAAACAAATATTTCTTGTTTTTGAAGTATGCTTATTACAACTAAGTGTGTTTTGTGGTACTTTTGAAGCACTCACATTTGCACTGTGAAACTTCTGGTACTAACTCTTTTTGATTTTTGTTCATGGATAAATTTACTTATAATGCTGATGTCATTTCACATAGAGGTCTTGCTGTTGACATTTTCATGGTGCTGGGATATCAAATCTAACACTGAGCATACTCAGCAAATACCTACCACTGAGCTACAGACACAGGCTTTGTTTTTTTCTTTCGTCTTGTTTTGAAGTTTGGTTTTTGATCTTTGCTTCTTTTTTTATTATTTTGTTTTCTTTTGTTTTGAGATAAGTGTATCATACTTAGTATGTAATCCAGGCTAACCTCAAACTCACTGTCCTCTTGCCTCAATCTCTTCAGTGCTAGAATTATAGTTGTTGTACCACCATACCAATTTACACCATGTTTCTCATTCTTTTCTAATAAATAATAAGAATTTTTAATTTTATAAATATTGAACTTTACAATTTTAAAGCCATATATATTAATCTCTTCTGTAAAGCATAAATTCATTAGGCTAATTATGTAACTCTTCTATGTTGGCATTTAAGTTGTTTACACTATTTTGTTCTTAAAATAAAAACTACATGGGGTATACTTTAGAGCATACTTAAAAAGTCATTTTACGTATGCAGTCATGGGATTAAAGGAGATACATATTTGAGAAACTCTGATATAAATTATCACACACTCTCTAGTTCATTTATGGTCTACCAGCTGGATGTGAAAATATTTCACAATAGATTTTTTTAGAAATGAGATAAGGTAAATTTTTCTTCTATGTGATTTTTAACCATAAATTTGTGAAGAAGAATTCCTGGAAAGAAACCACGTCTGCAAAGAATGATTTATTGTTAAAACTACAATGATGTCCCAGTCCAGCTGGCCTTGTGAACTCCCAATAGATCAGCCCCACTGTCTCAGTGGGTGGGTGCAC